CGCGGTTACAGTTGGTAACGAGGAGGTAACTCGCCTCGATGACGGGACAGTTGGACGGCCCCGCGCTCTTTTGCCTGAGCGACGATGTAATTTTCTCTCTCGGCTATTTCTCTCGGCGCGGCGTTCGCGCGATGGCTTGGCCCGCGTTATGCTCGCCTGGTACCATGGGCAGCCGGACGCAGACGTGCAAGATGGCACGCCCAGCTGTCGCCACGCAGACGCCGTCGACGCTTGGCAGCCGCCACGGCAACAGGATCGCATATACCGGCCATGGTGTCTCATCGCGGTGTTCCCGCGATCACGCACGGCCTTGCTATCGCGAGTGACGCCGCTAGCGCTCGCATGGCCAGCTAATAATAGTGATAATGTCGCTGCGCGCGAGCTCGCGCAGCGCCGAGCGATACCGCGCCTTCGTAGCGCTGCGGGTCTTGCGATCGCGCGACTCGCGACGAGACCGTATCAGAATCGAACCTCGCTTGCGGAAAATCGATTTTCGCGGTATAGCATGATCGCCGTGCGATTCCAATTTGATTAGTTCAAAACCAGTTTTTCGGATTATCGGGGATCGCTGGATTCTAGAAAAGCTAACTGCGTTTAGGAGGAAAAGTATCTGGTGTAGTGTATAATACATAAAGAACTAAGACTGTTTCGAGAATTTTATTTTCACGATGCAGATAAGAAATGAGTGCTAATCGTATAAGGATTGACTACGCTCATACCAAAGATGTAATTTGAACACTAAAACTACTGACGATGAATTTCTTCTACTTAAGTATATTATGTCTTTGGAAAACGGGATGGGAAAAAGTAAATTGTTTAATTTAATCATGTATATATTGCAACAAAACTCAAGGAAAAGCTCAGAAAATGCACTGTTATAAAATTCAGTAACTAAAAGGAGTTACAAACCAGTCATTGTGTGTGACTTTGATAGTTCTAGCTTTTAGCGTTAAAGAGATCATTACTACAAGAGTGCACCATTACACAGATTTTTTTCTTTAGTCTCTACGTACGTTAGTTTTTATTAAAAAATGTAGAAAATTTGTAGACTTTAATTATTTAAAAATTCATGTGACAAATTTGTTATTTGAAGAAGCAAGTTGGATCGTTAGCATGCAGAATCGAATTATCATGGATTTTGATTGTAAATAAATGCGCTATATATAACAGATTCTTGCCAGCACTATGTAAATCTTTGAAAACTTTTGTGATTATACGTTAATTAATGAATGATAGGAATTATCGGGCTAGACATTTCTTTATCCTTTTTGAATGCGTGATACGTTTTCTATATACCTCCCGAGATTATTTTAGCACAGCCAATTATGTATTCTTATATTTTACCTATTTCTTTATTGGAGATATATTTGATATTATAAACGTCTATTATTTTTTATTTGGATGCAACATTTACGAGATCTTTTAATTATTCTTAACGATATATATTAAGTATATGATGCCAGTTTTATTCATACTGTATACATACATTGCAGTAAATAAGTGAATCTGAGCATGCTTGACGCCATTTAAATCCCAATATTTTATCTGACAGAAATGGCGAAGAAAAGAGGATAGGAAAGGATCAAGTATTGCATTCAAATAAGAAAAGCAATGCGGAAAAATATGCAGTCGTACTAAAAAGTATCTCGCTCGCCAATCACGACTTCGAACTCTTCTTCTTCGAGAGTCTCTAATCTATAGAATTTCGATTGAATCGTTAAATCTATCGCTCAATTGCGTTGTCTCCGCACTTATGCTAATTGGAAAGCTTCCATCGCGAGCTTTTTTTTGTCTTTCCTCTGCGCATTCGACCGTTCGATTTTTCCTTTGTTCGCGGTCTCGACGATTCCTCGACTGCGCTCTTCCCCCCTTTCGGCGCAAAACGCCACTCTCCGTAGACCTCGACGTCACGTCGCCGCCACTCGCGCGGTCGTACAATTTACATCTCTGTGGCATGCATATTTTTGCGATATGTAAATCGTTTCTTTCCGTTGTTGTCGCTGTAGCAGCGGCGTTGTTCCACACCGGCGGATTTGCATAATTGAGACGACGGACGGACAAATCTGCGACTCTCCTCGGAGATTTCACGTGTCGACGCGTCTCTTCCTTTCGGTGCGACCAAAGCTCGAAGATGCGCGAGATAAATAAAAGAGAAGAGTGGCGATGAAAATTTAATAGATGCAGAGAGACTGCGAAAATAAAACTTTGCTATTATTAGGTATAGAGGGAAAAAGAGAGATAGTGTTGCTTTTATATAAATTTTACGATATTTGGAGTGCAGCATTAAGCAGGATAAAAGATACGATCGCAGATTTGATATAATAAATCGCGTATGTACTTCGATTATAGGTATATATCGAAGACATATACCTTCAAAAGCGTCGCGAATAAGTCTCGCGAGCGGATTGCTAATGACTTGCAAATCACGATTTATCGCCAATACTGACCGATGCAAATATATATTTTAATTTTGGTTTATTTTATGTATTTTCTAGCAGCCTATTTGTGTTTAACGAAAGACTGTGCCTGTTTATTACAGCTTAGAGACGTACAAGCTGTATATCAATTTTGCTGCTTATAGATGCGCAGTTGCGAGCGGCTCGCGAATCGAGATATGTATCTTAATCTTTCACGAGTTTCCGTCTAAGCTGCAAATTTTTCGTTTTTTAGTTATTTCCTCCGCAGTATCGCGGAATAAAAAATTAGGTGGCCGTGCGCATTTCGATGCGATCGTAGATCGTCGGCGTTTGCCGAGATCGGTGGCATCCCGTTTGTCCGCTCGCCTGCCTGCCTGCAGTGTTTGCATCATGCAATCGTTGCACAGCTGTGCGTCTGCATAATGTATCTGCCGAGTTGCGTAACGTAACATCGACGTCGTTGTCGCGAGAGTGAGGAACGCCGTGTCGAACGGCGATTGGGAGGAATGGCCGAAAATGGCGGGCGTGCCGTTGTTGAATTCTAGAAACTACGGGCTCGGCCCTCGCTTCTACCACCGCCGATTGGCCGATTCGTCCTTGGTCCTCGCAGGGGGTCGAAAGCGTTTTCTGCCGTGCCGGAGAAGCGTCGCCATCCTGTGGCGAGCCTCCAAAGCACAGAAAGCCTCGCGCAAGCGAATTATTCGTCAAACTCACCCTCCGCGGCTGACTCACCACCCTCCTCCTCGGGCTACCCCTATTTCGGGGCTGAAGGGTTGGTCATTGCTGGCAAGAGCGCGATTTTATCGGCCGCGAGTACGTAAGGGTTGACTTGCGAAAAAGCTCGCGGGGGATGACGATGGCTCTGCTTGTCTCTCTCGAAGGGGCATTTAATTTATAAAGTTAATATAAATTTGTAAAACTAAACATATCCTTCCATTTTACGAGTTTTCCATTCTCCATCTTGAATAAAAAAACGCTTGAAAATTATTTCGCCTCGACTAGACTTAATTTCACGTGAACCTGAGATTATTTTCTTTGTTGTCTACTTTAATAGTGCAAAAATATAACCGTAGAATCCACTATTTTTGCAATGGAAATTTATAAATAATTGAAACTAATTTTTATATTTACAATGTCTTTTCTCTGTTTTACATCGTATTGATATTGTCTGATAATGATTTTTAAAATTTTTTCGCAAATTCTATCGAGATCTGAAGAACTCCCTAAATAATAATGAAGGATAGCTTTGGAAAACTACGGGATGGTTAGTCTCATCAGTAGCTATACATAATTCATGATGAAACGGTATTAAATTAACGCGGAATGTTCGCAGTCGTTCGTAAGTTTGATCCATGCGAAGATAATGCTGCGACTTCAAAGTAGCTCTTTGGCTCTGAAAAAAAAAATGTTGGCGCAAACAACCATGGTATCAATGCACTCGGAAAAATGCAAATATTTTTCCCATTTTTTAAGAGAAAAAATATGAGCTTTATTTAGTAAATAATTAAGAAATAGGATTAATTGCTAAATTATTTTCGTGGAACGCTTATTTTATTTTAGATTATTT